AAACTGGAATAATGTTTATGTCAGCGCTTATCGCAATCTCCGCTTTTGGATGTGTGGGCTCAATGGTTTTCTCGTAAGATTATCGAATTATCATGCTTAATTATAGAATATTATCGCACTGAATTGATTTCTTATATCTTTAATAGTTATGCTCGAATTTTAAAATATGCTGCCTCAACAGAGTTCATACCTAAATATTCTTATAAATTTGACAACTTCCATAAGAAGTACGGCACACCATTTAACGCATTACTTGCGCAGTTTATTTATTGTTCAATTTTTCTTCTCCTCTTTTTCGATCCAACAAAAGATCTTTTTGATTTTGTTGCTGAGACATCACAAATTATTGCCTTGATGTTTCACGTAGCTTCCGCGATTTGTTTATTTGTAAGGTTAAATTAAATTGTTCATTTTTGTATTTACTATATTTGATTCAACTTATTAAAAAATAAGTATTTAATTTTAATTAGATTTTAAGAAAAGATCCTTCAAATTTCCAATTACCTAAATGGATTATTGTAATTTATCTTATATTCGTAATTTTAATTGTCAGCACATCATTTTTCCCGCCTGGGCCTGGCTCAATGGATCATTATATACTGTATGTGTTGCCGTATGTGTTTGCTATGGCTGCTACACTTTTAGGTGGAATAATTTGGAAATTTCGCAATTATTCGGAAAATTTGGAAGATTCGGGTGCCCAGAAGATCTGGAATCTGAAACAGTACATAAAATTTCCCGAGTGATGTAACTTATTTTTTTTCGGCATTATTTTTTTCTAACTGGTTTTAGAAATCACAGCTGAAAATGCATATTTTAATAATTTCTGAACTTATTATATTTAACTATATTGGGCAGTTTTATTATTGAAAAATTTATAGCATATTATTACAATGGTGATAATCACAGTAGCAATATATTAGGGAAATGTCATTTATCATCTGATTTTTTTTTAACAGGGGAATGGGAGCCAAAATATCATGCTAATATATCACATGTACAGTATAAATGTTTATATATAATCGGAATCATTTGAGGGAGGGGGGAATTTACTATTTACAAAAAAATCAGCTGATAAATGACACTTCCATTACTGTAGCAATTTACATTTTTCAATCTTTCTTATAATATATATTGCCTCAATTCATTTCTTCACATTATTTTCCTCCAATGAAATTCGCTTAAGTGTATCTAAGTAAAGAATTTTTGTTTTATCATATCATAAATTAGGATAGGAAGTAATTGTTGTGAAGAAAGTTTTAATAAATTTAAAAAACTATATTTAAAACCAGGCCACATTTTCAGTGATTACCTATTTTTGTTTAATTCTACAAACATGTAATAAAATATTCATCAAATTTGATCAGATAGCCGTGGAAAATCTTTGCTTAAAGTTGAAAAAGAAGTTTTACTAAGGTTTTTGCTTTTTTTCTGAGATTTTCAAATTTTTTTAAAACTTTAAGCGAAGTATTATCTAACTAAATTTGGTGTATTTTTTTTTTTATTTTAATTCTGAATGTTTGTAGAATTAAAATTGGCCGAAATTAGTTAACTTGGCCATCACTATCTCTAAAACATGCGGCAAAAATAAATTCATACCTCCAAGATAATATGACTATGCTGTATTTTACTCTGAAATAAAGTTACAATAAAAAAAAAAGGTTAATTATATAATTCGCTCAGGTTTTATTAGATTATATGATAGTAATCAGCTTCTCGAAACCAACAAGAAGCTTTATTAAAGTCTTTTAATGCCTCTTCACTGTATTCATAGCATTAACAAGCTCATTTAATGATTTAGGTACTCTTATCTCAGCAGTTCGTTTAAGATGTTCAACCCCTTTTTCCATATTCACATCCCTTTTGTAAGATAATCCCAAGTTGTACATTGACATTATATTGTCCTTATTAGCAGCATTTTCAGCAATTTAAATGTTTTAGAATAACTCTGGTTTCTAAAATTGTAATCTAAAAGCACTCATTAACAATTGCTTTATCATACACCTTCTTCATATTTTTTTTGTTCTCAGCCCAATAAAATATTCTGAACCAAATCATATTTTTACTTGCTACATCAAAAAATAGATCAAATAAATTCATTTTGATTTTTTTTTTGTGCCAATAATCCACTTATATTATAAAATGTCTACGAAGACATACAAATTTTGGGTCATCTTTATTAAGATATAACCAAGATAAAATCTCACTACCGGATTTACCATTTTCACATTTTCAGGTATATAACCACTAATTATTTTTTGGATTAACTTGCCTTTATTACATATCACAAAAATTTGAATATAGCCCGTTTATAAAATTGATCCTGGGATTTTATCTATTTACTTGAGTTTCTAAATATCCAAAGTTTTATCGAAAAGTTTACAGGTTGAATAAAGATATATCGGGATTAAATGGATGCAGCTACATATAATTAAATCTCCAGTTTTTTGTAGAGCTATCAGGATAATATCAGATAATATATATCAGGACAAATCGAAACAATATCAGTATTTCTTTTGCTGATAAAACAATCAGGTGCAAATCGTGTGCATATTTTATTTAAAAAAATAATATATTTTTTTTTAAATATGAATGTATTATCTTAAGCTTTAATTACATGCAGTATTTTACACACTACTAAAAATGCTATTAATACTCACATTTTAACGTCTACATACCAAAAATATATTTAATTTATTTCGCACTTTATATACTATTACGTATACAATATTGGACAGACGATGAAAAAATAACAGGAAATTTTTTATCAGAGTTAATGCCACCCCCTGTGCTGCATAGCAACACATGAGTGACATTAAACTCTGATGGTAAAAATTTCCTGTTATTTGTCATATGTAGGGTTGTAAACTTACACAATAATTTTGGAATTTTTACTAAATAAACATATAAAAATTGCTTGTAAGTTACATCATAAGTTACATTAGATTTTGAAATTATTGTAAGTTTTACAACCATAGTTATATGCCCAATATTGATGTTGTCCAACAGATATATATGACCATGTGACGTTTTTTCCTGTGATGTTTTTGCATAAATGATTATGTAACCTCATGCAAAAAATATCATGGCAAAGAAAATTCACATTATCATCAGAGCCACCGGAATGCTATAGCATCTAAAATAGCGCTATTTTTAGCAAAATAGCTAGCACTTATTGTTTAGTGCTAAGATGTGAAATTTGCAATTTTTGTATTAATCACATGACTTTTGCTTTTGTTCTCGAACAATTAGAGCTTTAAACAATTACATAACGAAATAAAATTTATAGTATTTAAACAGTTATATTAAAGCTAATATTGAAAGAACATTTTTTAAAAATGCCTCCAGTTTCTTCGCTTTTAGATCAGTATCCTAAATACAAGGAAGATTTTTATGAAAGTGAAGAAAAAGTTTATTGTAAATTTTGTAAATATGTTGTTGATCATCAAAAGAAACATAATTTAGATTCACATTTAAAAACAAATAAACATGGAAAAGAAAAAAAAATTGCCGAAGCTGTGAAATTTTACCAAATCAGCAAAATCTAACTGCACTTCAGACTCAAATAACTGATAGGCAGGAAATTAATGTTGATTTAATTAAAGCTTTTACTAAAGCAGACATTCCTTTAGAAAAAGTTAAAAAATTAAAACCATTTTTTAATAAGCATTATATAAATAGTAATTTTTATTTAGTTTCAATACATAGTTATAATTTATACGTATCGATATTAAAGTTTTATTAACATTTTTTTTTTTAGGTAATTCTGTTGTCGATCCTTCACAACTTCGAGAACGATATCTTCCTCTTGTCTATAATATTGAACTGGAAAAATTAAGTATTTTACTTAAAGACAAAAAAATTTGCATCACCATTGATGAAACAACTGATACATGTGGAAGAAGTGTTGTTAATGTTCTTTTTAGTTTTGAACAATTAACTAAGCTCATAAAAACAGAATTTCTTCAAGAAGTTAATTTTACCACGATCTCACAATTAGTTGTCTCTACTATATCATTTTATAATATATCATTTAATAATATTATTTTATATATTAGTGATAATGCAAGTTATATGAAAAAATCTTTTAATGATATTTTATCTTCTTTAATTTCACAAATGCGACATAATACTTGTTTTGCCTATATTTATAATTTAGTTGGAAATACTTGGCTTGAATATGATAATTTTCATATTATAGATAATATCGTTACTAATATTAAATCGACGTTTGTATATTCATTATCTAGAAAAAGGCATTGGCTAAACTTTCTTTCTTTACATGTATTAGATAATGAAGATCTTCTATTAATTTTACCTCCTTTACCTGTAAAAACTAGATGGTTTTCTTGGTTTTGATTTATTATTTGGATGAAACCATATCTAAAATATTTAATTATTTTTTATCAAAAAGAGAATGAACTTGCAGATTGTCCAAAAGCTGTTATTAATCTTACAAACTGGTTCTCTAATTCAGATACCATTATTCGTATTGAATTAATTACTATGTTTATCACATTAAATAGAAAAAGGTAAATATTTAAAATATAATTTATAATAATTAAATATATACTAATACTAATGCTAATATAAAATATAGATTAATACATGATTTGGATTTTTTTCAAACTCAAAATAATCCAGTTGCACCACATGTTTTCTCACGAATTCGGCAAATGCAAGAAATACTCCAAAATAGAATAGCCAACCCGCCGTTAACAAATAAAATAATTTCTTTTATAAATCAAAACCAGTTAAATATTAATCACTTCAAAGAAATTTTTGAACAAGTGTTTAATTTGGCATATACAAAGCTTATGAAACATATTAGGCAGCATAATGCATTACCACTATTTAAAAGTATTCAATGCTTTAATCCTCAATTTATTTGTGATAATATTTCATGACATAATTTATCATTATATTTAGATATTCCCAAATTTAAAAATCTATCAAATCAATTAATTAACAAATGGAATATATATTGTAATACAGCAGAGAATTTTGAGATTAATATCGAATGTAATTTAGAGCAATATTGGAAAAACAAATTATATATTTTACCTGTTCTTTCAAATATTGCATTAGTTTATATCTGGGTTCTAATATCAGGAGTAGATGTAGAACATTCATTTTCTAATTATAAGCATATTTTGGATGATAAACAAAGATCTCTTACAGAACATAATATAGCTAGATTAAATTTCTTGTATTTTAATGAAAATTTTACTAATAATTATATAGCAATAGATGAATAAATATAGCAATAGACATAATTTGTAATAAAAAAATTACTTTGCTATTTTTGCTAAATTTGCTACTTTTACTAGCTATTTTTGCTAGCTATTTTTGCTATTAATAGCTGGTGGCCCTGATTATCATATAAATGCCGGATAATTAAGAGTTAATGCCTTTTTTTACAAAAATTTTTACGATTATTGTTATTGTATAATACAAAATATAAACCTACTTTTTTTTTAGAAAAAGACATCTGAAAAATTTCATATAAAACTACCATTTTTCTCATAAAAATTTTGCTTTATAAACACCATT